AACCAAGCCTCTTATATTCACATCTTTGTATCCACCCACTTACCATCTGTGGCACATTCCTGCTTTTTAGTGAGTGTATTATCTTGAGAAAGGTCGTCTAATAAAAATTGTAATCACCACATCCCTTATGTATCTTTCTCATAGCCTTTCCAATGTCTTCATGGAAAACGACGTCAGGCTAATTGGTCGGTATATGTTTGGGACAGTATAATTCTTCCTTCTAGGTTTGGGTATAAAGACTACCTTTACCTCTCTCTATTTTTAGGGGATATTTATTTATTATTTATTTATCTATTTTTTATAATTACATCACCAAATCAGCTCATGCCAATTACAGGGTGACGGAAAAATGTACAAAAATAAGTTACAACATAAAAGTAAACATTTATACAAAAAAGCATCAAAATATGTTGTGCATAAGGTACAGACATACGCTGTAAAAATGCTTTACAATTTTATAATTTGAAAATTAAAATACGTAGCGCGGTAGCGCACCAATACTACGGTGTGAATATTTTGAGAGAGCTTTTTGAAGCCTGCGGGAAATCTTAGATTTTTTCGCAGTAGGATCTCCATGCATTTCTCTGTTTTATCCTTAGATAATATATTGACAGATAGGCTACCACTGCATAAATCTATACAATGTTGATGTCGCTCTAATAAAATCATTGTTTCTTTTTCTAATATAGGTTTTCTCGCTCATATTAGAATCATCAGCAGTAGCGTACGTAAATGGATTGCGTTGGGTTATTTTAAATGTGAAAATAGTTACTGCAAATAGATGAAAAAATACAAAATAATATTTAAAAGATAGGTATATTTTTATTGAACTGAAAACAAAATATGATATATTGTCATATCAAAAAATATAATAATAATGCAAAAAATATTTTATTGCTTCTAAAACATTTAGGTTTACATCAAGGATTTGAAATTCTATAAAATATCTATCCCTGTTGAAAAGCTATACAATGGTAGAACTGAAGAAATACATAAAGCATTTAATTTAAACATGACAAAATATTCCTAATAAGAATAAAACAAACCAATATATATTTACCTATTTAGCATAAGTAGAAGTATTTCAGGATATTAAAAAAATATATAGAAATGTAATTTACTTTTCTAATGACTTCGTTTAAAATATAAATTATCTAGTTAGTTTATTTAAATTAGGCAACTAAATATTCTTATATTACTGATGATAGTTTATATTTTAGACCATGTACAAATATATACAGTAGGCGTCCAAAAACTAATAATTTTTTTGATATTGCACATATTTTTTCACTCATCTTAATTGTGTCTGTAATGTTTTATTTCTGTTTCGTAAGTTTGAAGCAGTACTGTTGGCAACAAAAAAGTCTTCGTAATTACCGATTTTCTAGAAACTTCAAAATATCTTGGTTTTCTGAAATAGGTATTCATATACAATTAAATATATCAGCTTAGATCAAATCCAATGTTTGATTTACTTCTTAATTAATGGTTACTCAAATTTTGTTGATGAGAATTTCAGAGACATACCTTGAACTTAATATTGAAGGGTATAAGGTACTTTTATTTAAACTATAACTTCTTTTATTTGTTGGCAAGTTTAATACTCTTAAAGAAGGCCCATAATCAAATAATTTAGTATCTGAAGAAATTACTATACTAAAAACATTCAAACATATTATTGGTTCGCCAAATTTATTAAACACAATACCTTCTATTTTTGTTTAGGTGACTCTTTTTTTCCTACTTTGTTTGTGTAATACAAAGTTCCTAAAAAGTAAAGATACAATTTTTAAAAGTGCTCGATATTATTTAGAAACATACAAACTTATAAATATATTTGTTGCAGCAAAGCTGTTCTCTAAAAAGTGCATTGAACAAATGTAATATATTCGTTTAACTTCTAACATTTCAGTCCATTCAAGTGCCTTTAATTATAAGTTTCTTCTAATTCGTATTTTAGAACACTAATAATAATTTAATTTTTTTTAATATGCATATTTTTTCTCCTAAAGCGACGCCCATGTTCTTCGGTAAGTAATAATATTAACGAGTGAAACGTAACCTCAGTTATATTTAAAATCACATAAAACACAAATCTTTTCCTAGTATAAAATAAACCCTACAAATCAAAGTCACTTTTAACACCACCATACTTGAACGAATTTAAGTAAAAACTTAAAAAATTGTCTAAAAATAACTGGAAAAATAAATATGGAGATAGAGATATTAATCTATTTCTCTCTAATTAGAATCATTCATGCGATATCAAGGCAACAAAATAGTATATTACATTACGAGTGTGGAAAGTGACATTTTTCACACGAGTGGGAAATATAGTCGCACGAGGCGCAAGCCGAGTGCGACTATCACACGAGTGTGGAAAATCACTTTTCACACAAGTGATGTACAATATTTTTCCTACGACCACAAAATAATGTCATCAAAAAAATGTAAAACCAAGGTTATTATTACTATAATAATTAAAATGTATTTAAAAAAATAATCAACAACAATCGTATTTATTCAATTTTCATATTTTCTAAACAAAAAAAACTAAAAAAAATAAAAAAAAAATAAAAAAAAATAAAAAAAAACAAAAAAAAACAAAAAAAAAATTCTGCCCCGACAGGATTTGAACCATAGATTGAACGCGGTCGAAAAATGGCAAAATTGATAAGTTCGACGTCCTAACCAGCTGAGCTAACAGCCCTTGTGTAAATTGAATAATCTAATCGGTTATGTATTTAACCAAAATAAAGAGCAAACATTATTATAAATTATTTTAATAATAATTGTTAAAGATAAATATCTAGGATTTAATTTACAACAATTTCAATAATTTAACAATCATATCGATTTTAGTATTAATATGGATATTACATAGATCAAAATAGAAATTAGCTTACAAAATATCAAAAAAATGTAAAACCAAGGTTATTATTACTATATTAATTAAAATGTATTTAAAAAAATAATCAACAATAATCGTATTTATTCAATTTTCATATTTTCTAAACAAAAAAAAACTAATGAAAAATAAAAAAAAAAACAAAAAAAAAATTCGGCTCCGCCAGGATTTGAACCATAGATTGAACGCGGTCAAAAAATGGCAAAGTTGATAAGTTCGACGTCTAAACCAACTGAGCTAATGGGCCTTACGTCAATTGAATGATCTAATCGGTTGTGTATTTACCCAAATTAAAGAGCAAACATAATCTTAGTTATTTTAAAATTATTTTAATAATAATTGTTAAAGATAAATATCTAGGATCTAATTTAAAACAATTTCAATAATTTAACAATCATATCGATTTTAGTATTAATATGGACATTACATAGATCAAAATAGAAATTAGGCGTTTGACATTTTTTGACAACTACTGCGGAAAGTAACATATTCTCACTTGGGTGGAAAGTAAATTCTTAGTCATACGCGTGTGATATAGGACACTTTCCATAGGACTATATAGTGTGATATGTGTCACTTTCCTAAGTGGTCGTAGGAAAAAATTGTTTGCTGTCCTCTCTGAACTACTCTGAGGTTTTATCCAATTTTTTTTTGTATTCTCTGGAGTGAGATTTGTAAGTATCCCAGTCCTTATTGTGTTTTGTGGTTCTTGACTTGTTAAAATATTTCCTAGCCACCTGTCTGAGGTAATCCAACTCGTCTGATCCTGTTGGACCAGCCTCGAGACATTCCTCACTTCCTCACGTTACAGCGCTTGCCAGTTGTGATATGTGACATCCGGAAGTTGTCGAATTTTTAAATTAATTTTTGAATATGACTACTTAAACAAAATGACAGTGGGCCGATAATGGTTATTCTTTTGCAGAGCAAATCGGATTCACAAAGTAACGATATTTAATTAAAATTTGTTGTTTTGTGTTATGATATTATTCTTTTTTAACCGACTTCAAAAAAGGAGGAGGTTCTCAATTCGTCGCAATTTTTTTTATATATATGTTCAGCGATAATTCTTTAACACGGTGTCCCATTTCAATGATTTTTTTGTTAGAAGGGGGATACTTCAGTGATGGTCCCATATTAATTTGGTCAAAATCTAATAATTGGGTCCATGAGAAAATCCTCAAACTGTTCATTTTGTATGTATGTTTAGCGATAATGCTTTACCACCTTGTCCGATTTATATGATTCTTTTTTTGTTAGTAAGGGGGTACCTCAGGGGTGGTCCTATATAAATTTGGTTAAGATTTGGTGATGGCATCTGCACGTTTTCGAAGTCGGTTTTTTTAAATTTTTAATTACTAATACTTGTTAAATTTTTATTGTTACATCTAGTTATTTTTGAGTTAAACATTATTAATGACATATATCCGCTAGTTATTAGATATACTATATATATTCGTACTAACTTTATAGTATTTAATTCATAGCTTTGGCCATTTAACGAGCATTTTCATACAACGTGGCAAAATCTGCAAATAATCTAATGGAAAATAATCTTTTTAATATCACACTTTCTCCAAATAGCTTCAAAATTAACTACAAAAATCACCTACTTACTTTATGATGCTAACTCTTATTGTTGTATTGTCCTTATCAACTTTTTCTTTATTATTTAGGTTATCACAGATACATTTATTGTTATTTTGTTCTTATATTATCTGTTTTTACCTTAATTTTAGCGTGTTTAGTATTAGTATATTTTTTTATATGTCTCTTAAATAAGATTTTTTTTTCATTTATTGTTAATTCAATGTTTGTTATTAGTTAAAAATAATCGGGCTTTAGCGGAAGAACAGACATTTTAGTTCAAAAGACTTAAATGCACTGAGCTAAATGCCATTTACTCAATGTTTCGTGTATAATTTATTTGTTATGTTTATATAATACTATTGAGTAATAAACGTATTTATTATTATTACTATCTTGATTATTCGTGTAATTAAAATAACAACTAATATCGTCGAACAACTAGGTTTTAGATAAAAAATAATTGTGGATAAATGAAAAATGTTTAATAATTAAATTTACAACACTTATATTTAATAAATAACTATAATTATTATTATTAATATTATTCTTCTTCTTCATCGCCTTCTTCATTATATCCTTCCGATTCCTCATCGCCGTCGTCTGCACTGGAGGAATAGGAAGATTTTTCTTCTTCGTCGTAACTATCAGTTTCGCCATCACCATCAGTATAACCTGTGAAATAAAACAGTTTTCAAATATACTAAGAAACTATACTATTAATTGTTTACTGCATACCAATAGGCGTTAGATGACAATTCTGAATCTAAATTATACCTTATAGGCACTCTATTATGCAGACCGAGTAACTTTGTGAATTTGGGCGTTACTTTTGATTCAGCGCTATCCTTCAATGACCACATTGATGGTATATTAACTGCAGCAAGCCATTTGTACGGATTCATAATTCCCAACTGTCGGGATTTTAAGAATGCAAGTACGTTAAAATATCTTTATTATTCGTTTATTCGCTCAAAGCTTGAATATAATTCGATTATATGGAGTCCTAGTTGCAAGGTACACGTTACCAGTTTAGAGGTTCTTTAAAGACAGTTTCTTAAATATTTAAGTTTTCGAGAAGACCAAGTGTATACTCCAATTGGCACCCCACATAACGAACTTTTAGTAAGACATAGTTTTTCGAGTCTTGAAAAAAGGGACAAGTTACACTACAGAAAGTCATAACCAACAAAATAAATTGTACAGACCTGCTGCATATGTTAAATTTTTGGATTCCCCGCCAAACATCTAGTTGCAATGATACTTTTTACTTGACCACTCATCGCACCAACGTTTTAAGCAAATCTCCATTATATGTCTTGTGTAGTAATACAGCAATAACTTTGAGTTGGATATATTTAACATTAGAATTTTGGACATAAAACATTTGCTTTTGTGATGATTTTATCTTTTTAAATAGTCTTTAATCTTTAATTTTTTACATTGTATTTTCTGTGATATTTGTTTTGTCACATTTTGCCTGTTCTTTAATTGAGAATTTCCTGTAGAACAGTTTGTAAAATAAATAAATAATTAATGTAATATAATACAAAAATTATTACATATCATCTTATATGTTCCAAACATAATGAAATACCAGTGATGCAAGTCATAATTTTTTGTATTCCATATAATCAATACTAATGAGTTTTTCTCTATTATCAAAGAAGAATGTAAACAATGTTTTTCATATAATTCACATTTTTTTGCGAAATATAGAAGTCATATAATCATTGTACCACCCCCGTAGCTGATAAATGGCACTCACAAGCCGAGTACCCCACTTATAGGGTTGCTCAAGAATGAGAATCAGACTGCGATATGGATGATAGTACCATAATAATGACTCCGAATATAAAAATATGCAATAAAATGTTTGTCATTGTGGCAGTGATGTAAATAACAACCAACAGTGTTTTATTGAATTTAATTTGTTCCTAAATGTGTCGAGGTATAAAGAGTATAAGTAAATTTTACCTTTTATTTCATGAAAAAAATAGAAGAAGAAATAAAAATAATATGACAAGTTGCTATATATTTTCCCTATGGCCCATGACGGACATCTCTGGAAATCATATTTTAAATTATTTTTAAAGTAATTAGTGTAATTTAATATTTTTTTAATATGATGGATAATAGATGTCGACTTAATTTTTAAACATATTTGACTTATTTAGTTTGGCAGGGAAGGACTACTTTTAAAACAATAATATTTTCATACAGTCCCTAGCTCTGAGAATTAGGCAATCCAACGTCCTGTCAAATTATGCAAAAATGGCCAACGATATATGGACTAACTCAACGTTTTGGGGTGTTGTAGTCGAAGAGCCTGCTGCATTTCCACATTCTGTAGTCGATCAATGAATGCTCGCATGCCAATTTGTTCTAATAAATCTCTAGGCGCCTGTGGATAGGCCAGTTGCAGCAATCTTTTTATATCAGCTTCAAATTCCTGGAGTGTTTCTGACTACGAACTTTTAGCTGGCTGTTGGCCATACATTGTTTCCAAAGCCTGGACTAGAGATGAATAACTGGTTTCCCCTTGGGGAAGTTACTGTAAAACGGTTGCTGCCTATCCGCGCAGCGACACTATCAATGAAGCCGCTATCTTTTTCTCGGCCCAGCCATTGGCCATGTCGTCTAGCTGTCAAACGTGGGTGGTTTAAGGGTTTGAATGTGGTTTGGTTTGACTATATATGATGACGAGGTAGTGTTTTCAGCTCTAATGTTGCTTACCGAAGCTTGGCTACGAACTCTTCTTTCTAACCTAATTATTTCAGTTCTTATTTGCCTTTCTAACTCTACTCTAGTCTTTTCCTGTTGTTTTAAATTATCTCGTTATTGTTCTAAATTGGTTTTTAAATTCTCTTGTTGTTGCTCTAAATTAGTTTTTAAATTGTGGTGCTGCTGTTCTAAATTAGATCTACTCTAATGTTAAGCTGACCAACCTCTTGCTTAAAGGTTTCCTGGATGTGTAGCAAACCATTCATAATTTCAACCGCTTTTTTTCTACGCCTCTCCTTCTTCTCCTCCTCTTCGTTCTTTATGTGCCTTTTATTTTCCTCTTCTTCTGCTTAAACAATATTCTGGGATAACAGTTGCGAAACGCCCTATTTTAAATAGATAATGAATGTTTATTTGAAAATGAAGAGATTAACTAGATCTGATATCATTCAGAAAAACAATATCTATAATAGGTGAACTTTCGTAAATATAGGTTTCTAGGTCTACCAAGTTCAGATTATATTATCTTAAAGATAATTCCATGTTTTCATTTTCAGAGTTTTTCTTAAAGATAATTTGAAGTGTTTTGTTTCTATTTTGTATTAAATTTACCATACTTTTAATATAAGTACCTAATATGTCTATACCTATTTGTGAGTCATATAAGAAATAAATATTAATATGCTACATGATGGACAGATTTTAAATGACCCGATATTTTTTAAAATACGAGTAATTACATAATATGAACTCTCTCAAATAACACAAACAAGCAAGTACATTATGTGTATGTGATTGGATTTTATGACTGCGGATATAATCCATTAACCTATTACGAGAATAGCTACCATTGGTGACAGTCGGTGCCCTAACACTCGAATAGTTTTAGTTCTCTCACCCAATCTCCATTCACTGACTTTTGTATTAACTTGTCATTATGTATTAATCACTGTAAATCTCTTTCTTTTAGCTCTACTTATTTTTCTTTTGGATGATGTATGTTTTCTGTTAGTTTATTGCCAATGTGAAGACCCAGGTATTTCACTGATTGTGCGTGTGGTATTTGTAAATTGTTTATAGACTGGAAGACATATTTCTTTCCGGAAGGTAAATTTAACGTGTGCAGATTTCGTTTCATTTACTTTTACCTTCCACTTCTTTAGCCATTCATCTAGTTTAATTAGATGATTTGCGTATAGTCTGTCAAAATTTGAGGATTTTCGTGACTAGGCAAAATGGCTGTATCACCTGCGAATATCCCAGTAGTGGTGTTTTGTCACATTGGTAAATATAATATATATAATACATATAGAAGCGGACCTAGAACACTTCCCTGCGGCACCCCTGAATTGATTGGGATACAGTCTAATTTCTTATCGTTCACCTATGTTTGAAACGTTCTTTCACTTAAGTACAATACTGTTTGTTTTCTAGTACTTTATTAATGGCTTTCGTGATTCGATGAACTTGTTTATTAATTATTATTTGTGCAACTTTGAAACACTTTGGCCAGTACCTATAGTTCTTATAATAGTATAATACATGTAAGTTAGTAATACTATTCCTTTTCTTGGTAGTTCTTTCAACATTTTTGCCGTTATGTGGTCAATTCCAGATGACTTCTTAGGGATAAGCATTTTTATTTATTTACTTATTTCTTTTGGCGTTAATCAATAATGAATTTTTTTACAAAAAAAATGGATATTTCTGCGCAAATAGACCCATTGTTACACGTTGACAAATATTATATCCCAAAGGCGAATATTTTTAAAATAATTGTGTTTTCTTCTCGTAATGCGTAGATAATTTCAATGGTTTGTATTTTCATTCTAATTGTCTTATCTAATTTGACTTTTTTGGATTCATGTTTAATACTTGGAAAAGATTCAAAATATAAACATAATTTTATGAGATAATTTCAGTTTCACACTGATATAATATGAAGTTTCTGTCACTTAAAGAATATAATGATGTTGCAAATATTTTCATTATATATTTTAAGCAGAAATTGAACATACCATATATTAGTTGCCATCTCAAATCTATTGTTTTAATACCTGGAAGGCTTAATAAAAATCTTTTAAGAGTTAGATTAACTTACTAGAGTATGGACTACTTTCTTCTTCTTTTTCTTCTTCCTTTTCTTCTTTGGCTTCTAATTCTCCATCAGCATAATTCTGAGATTCCCCAGATTCACCTTCTCCAAAGTAGTTAAAGTTACTTCCACTACAAAGAGCAAAGAGAAAGTAAAAACAATTAGGACAGTAGTAGGGTGAAGAATGCAGTGGTTAAACACACCACTGAATGAACATTTCAATGAAATTTGTTAATAAATAAGAAATCAGATCACTGCATCACGTGAATTTTATAGATATTTTGCATCTTCGAAAAAGAGGGTAGCGAAAAAATCTAGAACAAGGTGTTTTAGGGTTATAAATAAGACTATATTACATTAGTAATGTGGTAATTTTTAAGTATCTTTGAAAAGAGAATAAATAAGGTTTTCTCTGATATAATAAATAATAATAATAATAATAATAATATTTATTCAGAAAGCAGAATCCATATACATAAAATAGTGAAACACAAGAAGTTTTAACAAAAATACAAGGATTATCTACTATACTGAAAAGGAATCGTATTCATCGTAGCCTATCAGAAGACAGACTAAAATGGTTTTCAATACGCCTTGTCAAAATTAATAGTTTAAATATAAACACCCCTTAAATGTAGTACATATATAAATACATAATGGATACACATAAAAAAAAATGAAAATTGTAATTAATAACAAACAAAGACATCATAAATACCTACCTAGTCTAGTAGACGAAGCTCAATGAAAATTAGTGAACGTTGCTTCAAGCAATAAATATAAAAATATACAAAGATCAATCAAATAATCACAAATTAATATTTATATTTTAAAATCGATCAAAAGCTGTCCCCGAAGTAACAAAAATTTCAACTTATTTTTAAAAGTTACATGACTTAATTTTTTAAACTCTATTGGTATAAGATTCAAGATACGGCCTATTAAATATGAAAATGAACTTTTGAACATAGCAGTGGAATGTCGAGGAATGGAGATATCATCCTTTCTGCGAATATTAATATTGTGTACATCGCTCCTGAATCTTATTTTGTTATACAAGTAGGGGGGAGTTTTAAGATTGACAATTTTTCGATAGAGACAACAGGTGTGTAAAAAACGCGCTTCCTGAACAGATAGCCAAGACAATTCAAATCGCTTAGCTGACACTCCTTGCCTTTTTTTTAAATTATACACTAATCTAATACAAATATTTTGCATGCGTTGAAGACGTTGACTATCATATCGTGTTACACAAGGGCCATATACCGAATCGCAATAATGCATATGTGAAAATACTAGTGATTCGCACAACGTACGTTTAGCTTGATGAGTTAAGATGTATTTATTTGCATATATCATTTTTATGTTAGTCATACATTTTTTTATAATCTCATTTACGTGTTTTACAAACCGTAGATCCGTATCTAAAAATAAGCCCAAGTTTTTTGATATTTCCGAAGTAGATAAAGTTTCATTATTTACTATAATCTTAAATTGATCCTTATATTGAAGTCGACAGTGCTTTCGACCAAACAGCAGGGTTTTTGATTTAGAAGAATTTATATCAAGGCAGTAGTCATTAGATAATTGAAAAAGTGCCGTTAAATCCCTAGTTATATTTTTAATGTTATTATGAAAATCTTTAGGGGGAAAGGATATATATAACTGTGTATCGTCGGCATAAAAATGTGAGCGGCAATGCTGAAGGCAATCTTGAAATAAAGAAGTATAAATACAGAAGAATAGAGGCCCGAGAATAGAACCCTGTGGAACACCGTTTGTTATATTTTTTGGAGAAGATAAACGATTATGTAATTTAACTCTTTGAAACCTATCACTTAGGTAGTTCCGTACTAAATCCAAAGCTGTATCGCTAAAACCAATGAAATGCAAGACTCCTAGCAACAGCTGATGATTAATTCTATCAAAGGCTTTACTGTAATCAAGAAGTACTAGAATAGTAAGAAGGTTATTATCACTTGCCGCAATGATATCATCAGTTATTGACAGTAGTGTCGTATTGCAACTATAGTTGCGTCTAAAGCCGGACTGATTTGATGGTATTATTTGATTATCATCTAAATGCCTTTGTATTTGTTCATATAAGACTTTTTCATATATTTTAGCTGCGGTGCACAGGATACTAATTGGGCGTATATCTTTATATTGAGTAGGGTTTTTAACTTTACTCAAAGGTAGTACGTGGACAGCTTTCCATTGAGATGGAAAAGTGGCACTATTGATTGACGTATTGATAATGTGAGTAAGATATTTTATGATATAGGGACAACAATACAGGAGCATATCTAGACCAACTTCATCAGCTCCAATTGCATTGGACTTTATACTTAACAATCTACTGTATACAACATTATCATTTACTTCCTTGAAAGAAAAAAGGCTAACTTCTTTTTTAGAGTTAATAAGTTTGTTTAAAATATTTAAATTCGGAGAATGTTGAGATTTAGCCGATTTAATGAAAAAATCATTCAACATTTCTACATCGCTTAACTTAAGTTGCTATTTAAAAAATTAAAGTAGGCTGCGGTACGCTAAACTCTGACGTCACATACATTTGACAGATATAATTTCATTTATTATTCTACAATGTCATAATAATTATACATTCATTGTTTCAAAGAAATAAGTACCTTGTTGCCAGACTTTTTTCTAACCTATATAGGCAAATGTTCAGTGATTAGAACTTTTAACAATTTACCTCATAGAAGTTTAGGGTGTTTTACAAACTGGTATACTAAACCCAGTGACTTAAAACTTGATTCACTGGGATTTTCACACTTTTAATAATCGCATTTAAATTTATATTAATAATCTAGATATGCAACAATGCCTGAAAATAGCCATAGATTGCTAGAAAACTATATTTGAACACCACTTGCATCTACCATGGTCATTTATTGAAAACAATTTAAATTTAGAAAGTGGAGATTAATAAATGATCACTTTTTAAATTCACCTTAAAGTTTGTTCAGTGGTAAGCTATTATTTATGGAAAATCAAATACATTTCACATGAAGTAACAGAGAGATATAGCTTTAAACCTTTAAACTTATATTGGAAAATATTAGCAAAATGTTACTCATGTGTGCGCTAAGAAATCGACATGGTCTGTTGTGGGATCAAAATTAGCTCAGTTTTCCACTAAAAAACAGTAATTAAATGCTTGGCCCCATCGATACATACAGCTACCAATGCGGTATAGAAAATGTTTATTTTCTGCCAATGAGTCATGATAAGGACAAAACCGGTCCACGAATAACATTCTCCCTAGTAAGCAAAATCAAAGCTAGAATATTGAAAATATTTTCTCTCTTTTTTCTGTGTTGTTTCCCTTTGGATATAATCCAATGTATGTTGATGTTTTAACCAAAGCAGCAGTTTTCCGAAGAAAAACGAACACTTGTAATATTTTGTTGCACATAGCTTGTGAAATTTCTTGTTTTCTCTATTTTAAATAAATAATTTACCTCTTGTATTTAAAAATGTTTACAGAAACTGATATTTCCTTCCAATACAACTCTAATTCATATTCAAAGTTGGGATAGAATTATAGAAATACCTTCGAGTGCCTCGGTACCCGAAATAAAGCTACTTTGACCTAAAAAACCTGACGCGCTAGCTAAAAGAGGAGTCAAAACTGAGTTTATAGGACTAGAGCTATCTCTGGGCATTCCATGAAATTGTACAGAATGTAACTCTCATGTACTAGAGAGAAACATCAGGGATAGCTCATTCTAAGGCTTTTATATCCTACTGATCTCCGTGAATGAAGTAGGAACAAGATACGCATTCTTATGAGGTATGAGAAAGATAGGTCTTCATTAAATATCATACTGTCAAAACTGCAATCTTGGAGAAAAGTCTTCAGATCACATTTAAAATACTTGCTTCGTCTTGGAAAAAACTAGATTCCAGACCTTTAGCTTCACCTATCTCGAGCTTTTCATTTTGAACAAATCTCACGTATCTTAACCGTGTCCTTTATCAGAATTAACTATAATTTAAGGATGAGCCACACCAGATCCATGTTGGTCGCAGTGAAAGGTGATGTGCAGTGATTTTCCTACTGATTTTCGACCTAATCTAACCTTACTCTAAAACAATTAAAACACACATACCTTTCTGGGTCTTCAACTACTTTATAGGCTTTTTTAGTCTCTTCAGTATCATCTATAAATAAAAACAATATTAAGGAATACTTAAAAACAGGTTAATTTTTTATCAGTAGACAAAACCGAACAATTAAGCAAACTAATTTAGATTTATTATTATTATTCAAAATTTTAACAGCATATAATTTCAGATCATTTGTTGGGTACTAGATGCTTTAAATTATTTCGACCTAGCAATATTTATTGTGAGCAGAACGACTGGATAAATTCGTTTCTTTAAATTTTAATAAATTACCTTTCTCGCTGCTTTCTTTAGATTCTTCTTGCTTTCCGCTTTCAGTGTCTACATCTGCTTTATCTAATTTACCAAATTCAGAATGAACCTCAAATCCAAATTTATCGGAATCTTTCTTGTGATAACTATCAAAATGTTTGTAACCATCATCACCTTTGTCATTCATTTTTTTCACATAACCTTGAACGTTAGCTTCCGCACCTGGTTCGTCACCATATGTATGAAGATATGCCTCTTTTACACCTAAAATATATAATAATATTCAAGAAAATACGATAATGTCGAAATTTAACAATCTGTATAGAGATTTAGGGGTTAAAACATACATAATGATTAGATACCTAATTTGAACTAAAATATTCTTTTAGAAGGCCCCTCATAAATACAATAAATGCATGCTCTCAAGACTCGAGAGTTTCGTTGTGGTGTATAAGTCACACTTCCATAAATATCATTAAAAATTCATTTTAATCTGTATTTAATCAATATTGTTATGGAAGTCATGGAAGCATACTTCTTAAAGATCTAGGTTAATTACAACTAAGGAAAGAGAACAGCTAAAATGTGAAACATAATCAATAGGTAAACCAACGTATTGGCCAACACATACAAATAAAATTCCCGACCAAATTGACTTCTTCGTATCTATAAATATTTGTATCAACTATATGCACGTTGAGGAGAAATGGAGTATACATTCCGATACTATTCCATCCTCCTAATTCTTAATAACAATTAGTCCCTAGTCTGACCAATAAACTGACATACTGGCGAAGCTTCCAACTTCAACTTGAAGAAGCTCTCAATCTGTCCATTCCATTAAAAACTAAAGAAGATCTAGATAAGGAATCGAAAGCAATTAGAGATATATTCAGAAAGTTGCATTGGATACTACTGCCACATTTATTCCCAGCACTAAAGGTAATAATTACCCCAATTCAATTATAGAACTTAAATATAAAAAAAGAAAACTTAGATGGATTTGGCACCAATCTAGAACACTAACAGACAAAACTAGAATAAACAACGCTACCCAACAGCTCACAAGATATATTTAAAAATTTCAAAACGAGTCTATTAGTGACTCTCTGCATAAGTTTTCCAATAACTTCTCCCTCTTGAAAACCACTAAGAGACTAAATCAATCGATCTTCCAAAATCCGTTAATAAGAAATACATATGAAAGTTAAACTATAAGTAATTTTTAAGATGTGTCGAATATCTTGAAAGAACATTCCAATAGAATGAAGGCAAAAGTACCCTCCATTGGAAAAATATGATACAAAAGTCAAAAAAGAAATAATTAATGAAACAAAAGAAAACATTAACCCAAACAAAGGAACAGGGTTTGATTTAATTACCACTGCAAGCCTTAGTTAGATTAAATCATAGTATCAATGCCTCATTTAGACTGAAGTATGTGCCCATTCTCTGAGAGATTGCTATTATGACAATGGTCCCTAAATCTGGAAAACCTCCAAATGAAGCTACATCTTACAGATCGATCTCATTACTCCCATATATTTAGAAACCCTTGGAAAAATTACTATTAAAACGAGTGAAATCCGTTATAAAAGACAAAATTTAATTGTATTACATTAATTCGGTTTTAGAGAAAGCCATTCGACTACAGATCAAATCCACAGAATAACGGACACAATTAAAAAATCTTTAAAAAACAAAAAGTGTGTGTTACCATCTTCCATGTTGTAGCGCAGGCTTTTGATAAGGTGTGGGATTTAGGTATAAACTGTGTAAACTTTTGCCCAAGAAATATGAACAGTAATTGTAGTTGTAAATTTCAGATGGAACTTTTAAAGTAAAACAAGAGGAAGCTTATTCGGCAGTGTGTTGGATCCAATCCTATACCTACTATAAAACAGTGATATTCCGAACTTGGTAGGTGAAACGGTAACGTCCTTCGCTGACGATATTGCTCTATTGGCTAGGGGAAAAGATCATGACGAAGCTGTAAGAATTCTATAAATAATCCTTAACCAAATTAATACTTAATTAATAATGGCGAATTAAATTGAACTAGATGCGAGACTGCATATTGTGTACAATCACGAAGCTAGACAATCTGTCTAAGCTTTCCGTGAAGGGACCACATTCTTTCGGCGTATAATGTCGTAACATAATCTGACCTAATTTAAATATCGCCACTTTGTGAAGTAACGATTGTGTAATTTACCTGGTTTTATTGAAGCTGATAGTAATTTTATTTTTTGTGGTTATTGTAGAGGAAAATAATAAAAATAAGTTGTTTATGCATACTATAGCAAATATTGTACGACATTGTCCGAACAAAAGACCATTCTTCAATCTTGGACATCAACAGAATAAAATACATTACTGCAAGTTAGCAGTTTTGTACGTGCTAACTTGAAAGATCTAACTTCGATATTTTAAAATAATATTTTTATACAATGAAAGAATTAAATTATTTTATATACAGGATATTCGTTTATTTTCTTGATATTCAAGATTGAACATACTGGCGGCTCTCAGATGGAGTGATGAGGCTTCCGTTTTCACTCGGTCCAGAGACTGCAACTCGACCATCTCATGTGTCTCAGTCTCGGTTTTTCTCCTTGTTCTAGATTGATGTAGTCGGCCTAAACTTTTGCTAATAAATTTGTATCCAATCCAGATGTATAAAACCAGGATTATTGTGGTAGTTACACTTATTGCATGTGTCGTATAGGAATGCTGCTTAACTTGTTTCCATATCGTCTCGTGCAATTCATTTTGCAAATCGGTTTTCTCTAATGTTACTTCAGATAAATTGCTAGTAATTGGGCCGGTTTTTTCGGAATACTTCCAGTCAAACTGATAGAACTAATTCTAGTGACATTAAGAATTGGCATTGAAGATTTGGCATAGGCTTCAAACACTGCTTCGGTTACTGTTCTTTTCGTCTGTAGAATGTTTTGTTTGATCTTAATCATGCAATCTTCTAAGAGTTGGATCACTTCGGTGTTCTTAAGTAGAACGGCATCTCTGAGTCCGTTGCAAATTACGACCACTTTTGTTGGTTTGGCATTGAGGAATAACCATGTGTTGGGCATGTGTAATTGTTGCCATACTATCGATTCTACTGCAAATTGCCTAATGCCGCAGTAGGTTCTTTCTGATTTTACGTTACTCTCGACAATGACACAGTTTGGACTTGATTCAATATTCTTTATCACAGATGGGGAACATATATACTGGTGTTTTTATAGAACCAGACAGTGATCAATTTTGTCTTCAATCAGTTGAAGTACAGATCGTTGCTGTAGTCTACTGCAAGGAAATTTCTGGGTATATCAAATATGCAGAATGATCTATTCGCTCTTGGAAGCGGAGTTGGTGTTACTCGAACGAGATCATAATATTATGTTATATCTATGATCACGAAAGAGCTAAAGACTTGCATGGTTTGTTCTGTATATTCTATCTTAATTTTAACAGTTGGAAATGGTGATATTTTTAAATGTCCTGGCAGCTTTTTATTGGCATTATTATTCGCTTCTCGGACATAGTCAAGTGAGATCAATTTGTAAAATGTACCTTCAGTATACTGTACATGTAGTAGTCGTGAGTGATACTCAATTAATTCATCTAGGAAGTTAGTGGCTACTTGATATGCTCTTAGAATGTTGATATTTAGTTTTATATGCTATATTGGCTGGGGGCAAAGATCATGACGAAGCTGTAAGAATTCTATAAATAATCCTTAACCAAATTGTTAATTAATTAATAATGGCGAATTAATTTGAACTAGATGCGAGATTGCATATTGTGTACAATCATGAAGCTACACAATCTACCGAAGCTTTTCGTGAAGAGACAACATTCTTTTGGCGTATAAAGTCGTAACATAATCTGATTTAATTTAAATATCGGCACTTTGTGAAATAATCATCACATGGTATAACCTACGTAATGCCAATGTTTTACAAACCAAAAAAATTAACGTCTTAATACTAGTATCGGCTTTCGGTCTTTTGTTCCAAGTGAAATCATTTCTCGTTTTGTGGGCCTTAGTCTCGATAAGGTGAGAACCACCTGTTTAGCGTCTCTCGAATTCTCATTTATATAAGTGCATCTTAAAGTGACGGGATTAATTTAATGAGTTGCAATTATTAAAAATAATTAAAAACAAGCAGGAGAATGAATGTAATTTCCGAGAAAGATATACAATTCACTGTAAATTCAGAAATTTATTTTTCCAAGTTCATAGGAACTGATATATAAATCAGAATCTTATTATCAAACTTCTGTATTTTTAAACGAAATGTACCTACATTGTTTAATTTACAAACATTTTATTGCAAATTTACAACCGACGAAAAACAATAAAATATCTTTATTTAAAATTTTATGTGTATCTAAAAAAAAAATGAAGATTTAATTAAACATGGTGGTTTTATTATAAAACATAAAGATAAAGTTAAAAAAAACAAGTGCTTTGACCTTTTTATAAGGTTTTAAATATTTTTTGTGATTTTTTTGTGATTAATAATTTATTATTCTGTTTAAAGATACTCATTATCTCTAAGGTACACACTGAGATAATAAAATAATCGTGTATTATCTTATTATGTTAATTAATATTAATAACGGGAAAATTATTTGAAATCGAGAAAATACTTTAAATTACTATCTATAATCTCTGCATTGTAGGTACAAATGATATTTGTTGTTTTGATTAAAAGTTTTAAATTTAATTGAATACGTCATTTAATTACGTATATTTGATGATAATATATCGTTACTAGTTTTTTTCTATTCAATTGACTGATTTTTCGAATTTCTTTTTTTGTAGAATTGGCATTAGACCTTTGTCTTTTTGCCACAGAAAAATCAGAAGTTATCTAGATTTTCAATAGGCTCTTTTTTTGGTTTAAATCCTTAATATGACGTACACTTATTTACATAAGTGTAGAATGAAGATTTGTAATATTTGTTGAAAAAATTATAATCTATTTATTTAATTGTGAAAATAGATAGTATTTTGCATATTATGGGTTATCAATTCGGTGAATCAACTTAAGTCAGTTTTATTTTATGCTTTTTCAATTTTAAAACAACATTAATAATGGTTTCTTCCTCAGTTATAATTTGACAATTTGTCGTAATTACTGCTAGGAAGGTTCCAAACCGCTTAATTATTTCTTCTAAAGAATTACATTTAATTGTTAGCGTAATTTTTTGAGAAGGACGTAATCCATTGATTCGTTTATTCGTAAAAGAAG